GGATCACGTTTCGGTTCTAAATTGTTTTAGGATTGTTGACATTTGTAAGATTGACATGTTTGATAATAATAATATCTTTATTTGACCCTCTAACATTGTTATCTCTACCACATCTTGGCACGGCAAGGTCCGCGTCACATGACATAACACCTCTATTACAAGTGGTCGCTCGTTGAGGATCACGGAGCACATCAGGGCTGCCCGTCGTCAGAATAAACTTGACTCAGTTGTTAGTATGATTGTTATATTGTGGTGTTCGTAACCTACCTTCATTGTGTTTCTTTTGACTTTGTTATCATGCTGTGCTCTGGAAATTGTGATAGTACCTGTTCGATTTGTTAAGTGTTAAGGAGACGATCTCCCTGTAGCTGTTCATATGTTACAGGATCAGAATGTTCGTGAGGAACAGTCACCAAAAGTGAGTTGCTTATCTGCTGTGTGTTTTCGTACTCTGGTCTTCACTCAAGTTGCAAAGCTGCAATAAACGTATCGCAAAGAACATTTATATCTGAAAATTGTGTTAGTACCAGTTTGATCAGTTAAGATAAGGATTGCCTCGATCTGTCGGGTTCAGCTTAACTGCCTAGCCCCTAGGTCATGAGTAGAACCGAAGGATCAAAATATATGTTGCTTGTTGCTCGTATCAACCATAAAACATCAATTTTGAGGGATAAGGAAGTGTTTATAGGTTCTGAAACCTAGCTAAATTGATTTTTCGTGCAATTTTAGGTTAGAAACAGTCATCAAAATGAGTTAATAAGAAGGTCGATTTCTCGGTTATTTTTGAAGTTTCGTCCAGAAAATAATCCGGGGCCTTCAAAGGGGGGTAACAAGAAAGCGTTACAAGTGTTACAAGCCTTCTATAATACAAAATGTGTATCACCTCTTCAACCCGCCGAACATGTGCTTACCCTAAAAATGTAAACAAATGTGTTTCACCTCCTCAACCCGCCGAACATGTGCTCACTATTAAAGTAAACAAATGTGTTTCACCTCCCCACCAGTATCCACATCTATAGAATATTATTATATTAGTTACGATCGATTGTAACAAACCTGCAACATGACATTATTACAGGGAAGCCTCCGGGTGGGAGGACTCCGTACCATGGGGGGACTTCTGGCAACGTTCGAGGAATTTCTTTTCTCTTCTCGAACCTTCTTCATGTGCCGCTGATCTGAATCACTTTATTAAGTTTAACTTTAGTCCAAGAGTAGATTCATAGAAAAAGTACCAGTAACTGATTCCAATTAAACTAAAAAGTCATTAGGTACTAGTTACTAGTTATTAGTTACTAGTTACTAGTTACTATAGTAGAACAATCAGTAAGCTTATCTACTACCTGTTATAACACTGGGTATCAATGTAGCAGATGTAATGAAGATCACGGTAGGCTCAAAACAAAATTGACTCTATCATTAATTGTAACAAACCTGCAACATGACATTATTACTGTCCGGGCAGGAGGATCCAATGAAATTACCCCGGCAACCAGTTGAAAAGCCAGGTAATTGATCAGAAAATCAATAACATGATACAACAATCCTGAGTCGAGTTAAGAACTTAAGGTTTTTAGGTCTTGATGTCATTTAGCGCTAAAGAATGCCAACAGGGAGTAACAAAGAATGATAAACCGAACATCCCAGTTGAATTTCTACTGCAAATTAACTTGAACACACGTTTCTAGGGTACCACGTGACACGCAATCTGGCCAATAAGCTATCGAATAGCAGTCACGCTGACCAATCAGAGGGCTGGCTGTTAGTCGGGTGCGGACCACTTATGCCAGTCTAGCTGACGCCAAACAACTACACTGATACACTCAAATTTATAATTTCCAAATGTGGAGCTCTAAAAGAACAAATAGGAGCCTTGGTTCCTACATCCGAATCTATGTATTACACATCAAAAAGCTTAAACCAAGATTATCCTAGAGATATATCTCCAAATACCATTCAAGTAAGGTTGCGTGAGGGAGGGAGGGAGGGAGGGAGGGAAGGAGGGAGGGAGGGAGGGAGGGAGGGAGGGAGGGAGGGAGGGAGGGAGGGAGGGAGGGAGGGAGGGAGGGAGGGAGGGAGGGAGGGAGGGAGGGAGGGAGGGAGGGAGGGAGGGAGGGAGGGACGTTTCACTATGACGTGGTCTGATTTCTCCGTCTTTGACACTGATAAACTGTGGATTAAATCGATATTGTTGGAGAGGATCACGTCAAGGATGTTTTGGTCCTTCCTAGTGGGTTCGTCGACTAGCTGCTCTAGGAAGTTTGAAGATATGAACTCCATAAAGGCTAGTCCCGAGTTCGTGTCGGAAGCCGATTTGCTGGAGTTTGGTTTGATAGACTTACTGGACCAGTCTATAAACGGCAAATTAAAGTCGCCTGCAATGTAGAGTTCAGGAGAGCCAGGGAGGTGGTCTATAAAGTCTTGAATCACACACAAACAGTCATCAAACTTGTCGACTGGTGCCTGTGGAGGGCGGTACACGTCAACAAGGAGAAAGTTACTGCTAGCGATGTGAACCATTGCAACTTCACAATAGGAGTTAGAGTATACTTTTATCGTGTCAGCAGGTAAAGAGTGGTGTAGGTAGATAGCTACACCGCCTTGAGCACGTTTGTCTTGATCAGCTCTGATGGTACTGTTGCCAGGGATACACGTCTCCGCTTCAACATGGTATGGCTTCAGATGAGTCTCAGTCAGAATAAAGAAGGGAGTGTGGAGCGGGCTGGTTGCTAAATTCTCGTGGAGAGATTTTAACTTCCATCGCTGGTTCTTTATCCCAGGATTTATTCCTTGTATGTTAAGAAGAAATGCTGAGGAGATCGGAAGTATTGACTTGAGGTCTACTTTCCCAGCAACGGTTTGTAGAGAGCAGGCTGTTGCAGGTGCTGTGCACTGCAGTGTGCAGGGTAGCCCTGGGGAGATGAGGGGCTTGTTGGTAGGGCTACAGTTGAGTACTGAACACCCGGACGAAGATATATCTGGGGGTTCGGGCTTGTTTGCGAGGGTAGATAAGAGGCCATCATTGATTCGAGTGATTTTTGAATCATGCACGAAATCTCTTACGTCCAATCCACTTTCAACTGGTCCAAATGCTGGAGAAGATCCTTGTTGCTAAAATATTTCGAAGCATTTTTCTCTTGAGGCGGCTTCAAAGTTGATGTATTCTTCCTGCTGCGTTTATGATTGTCTTGTGCAGGAGGGACATCCCCTTTCTTTCCTGTTGGAACAGGTTTAGTGGGTGGTTTGGCGCTGCTGATGCGCTTTACACCGCGAATATGCATGAGCTTGAATTCATTGTTTAGGCACAAGTTATAGACAAGACCATTTTGGCAAAGTTGGGTATGGAAGTAGCGGCAGCTATCTCCACGATTGCAACCGTGGCGACAATGCAAAATACAAACAGTGGACAGTGCCACATAAAAAAGTGCCAAAATCATACATTTTTCTTGGATGTATGTAGCTCTCATGACATTGAAACCATAACAATAACAAAAGCGTACGAGAAGGGTATCACTTTAAGGCAAATGACAGATGACAGAGATATTCAGCAAACTGCAAGCGATAGGTTTATCAGAAGGTATAATGCAGAGAGCGAGTGAGAGAGTGTCAGGAACAAAAGTTTGTATCTGATCTCAGCTCAAGCTAGCACACGCAAGCGCGGTATATCACGCGCACGTGACTTAAACACTGCAATATCATTGGTCATCTTTATATCCAATGCGAAATACAAACACGCGCCCTTTTCCTATAATCCATGGCGAGTGAATTAGTGAAACCGATTATCAGCAGAGCACCTTAGTAATACACTTCATCAGATAAATTATACTGTTCGAACTTTAGCTAGGGAAGGATTGCCTTCAAGGATTTGTCCGGGGAAGGCCTCGTTCGCACTGGAACATGTCAAATGGTAAACGGAGTTATCTGGTAATGTTTGTTTTGTTTATGGCTAGAATTTAGAATGGAATCAATGTGATGAGGATCCAGAGTTAATTACCTGCTAGGATTAATAAGTCACTTTCTACAGTTGAAGAGGTCACTTTTTCAAACTTTAAATGAAGAAATTGGCTCGGAACTTCATTCCTTATAGATTCATCACTTTCAGTTAATAACTACGGTGTACCATGAAACCAGTTAAATACTGTATAGAAAGACCAATCCACCGGAAATAAATGAACCAGATTTCACAGAACCATATACCGACTCAATAAAATTAAAACCATTTGATAAGGTTTGAGTCGAACTTTTTTTGTGTCTGATAAAATATATACAAGGAATACAAGGAATAAAGGAATATAAATTTCAAATCTCAAGTTACATTGCAACAGCTACTGTCAAGATAATAAAAATAATAATAAAATAACTCGCCCCGGTCCATAATAATAATTGACATCTTGATTGACTTCACTACTCCAGACAGTATTGATTATCTACGTAAACTCGCGCACGCACCTACTTTTTTGTAATATTTAGAATCAAATTTGTCCGCATAATCATAGTTTTGAAAAGCGACATTTTTACAGTTTTGAGAAGAAAACATCTACTGGTGAACAAAAACAGTGGGTCCATAGACGGAACGCGCGCGGTTTTAAGAACATTAAAAGATTCTCAATGTTCGCGCAATATTTGATCACGTGATATATATTATATATAATCGATAGATCTATACAAATATATAGGGCGATCAGATTATTTCGATCAGTCGGATTGGATCAATCGTATCATATCCGCTCACTCAATTTCTGCATGCAATTCGATCAACAGTCAATCGATCGATTGTTAATTAATTATCGATATAGTCTATTGATTGACTGATTGCACGCCAAACTGCACGCGCGTCGATTTATTTATCGCGCTAAAATTGGATCATATTAATACAGATTACAGACAACTGTAACGTTTCACGAACATTCTAGTGTGAAATCACGTCAATGTTCGTCTCTAAGTAATATTTAAATTTTGTATCAACTACTCAGTGCTTCTTTTAACTTTCTTCATCGTAGGTTAGAAGAATTGAAGGCGAATGAGGAGTTCAAGACCCAGCTGAACAGCGTCAAATCAACATTGGATGTAAGTTTTAAAACTAATCATTTTGAATTGATAATAGACCCTCTTAAGCCTAACTTTCTTTGAGTTAGTACGTGTACTAACTTTTTCATCATTGAATAAAAACTGCATCGTCCCCAGGCTCTAAAAGTGGATGGTACTCCAGTAGAAGAACCGATAGAGTACGTTGACGAAGACAAATATCAGACCCTCAGACGGGTAAGGATTTTGCCACGTGACTCTTTGATCACGTGACTCTTTGATCACGTGATACATGTTGTTGGCTATTTCTATCTGTGTAATAGTGGTAGATAAGATAAACAATAACAACTGAATTATTTCAGATCACAGCGGGCGAAACAAGATCACGAATCGCGTTCTTCCACTCACTGTGACGACTTCAATCACTTCAAACTTAACCAAGAAAAATGTATTGTAGCACAGTACTGTCATCTCGTTTTAACCTTAAATTATGTTTTTACCTTATCTTAGAAGTCGTTAGATTGATTTTTTGTCACTAATACTAACTTTTGAACTAACAAATGTTACGTGAAGAAGTATCATTTAAAAGTTGTAAGCAATATTTTTTTCAGCTAAAGCGCGCGTACAGAAGTGACGTTATTAAAACTTGACGCTTTCTTATTCGGGAAATTTTGTATCGGGCATCTAATTAAAGTTAATTAGCTTCAGTTATGCTATTAAAAGTAAAACAGGTTGGCTTTAAATGGGTTTAATAGATTTGAAATGGGTTTAATAGATTTAAATTATTTTCGCACTATTACCATTTTAACTTCAATCGGCGTTATTCCAAAATAAAATGGGATTGTTCACAAGTTTTAAGCTATTTTCTAATTTGACACCGTTTTATTTTCTTAATTATTTGAATCAATTCAAACTTATTTTATAATTACGTTGTAAAACTGGGAATAGAATCAATTTGGTAACAAAGTTAAACCTCCGCTAATTATCGACGTGAAAGGCTCATGTCTTGTGGTTCGGGGAAAGTAAATAGGGCAGTTTAATGTAAAAAGCACGTGTTTAAATTTTGATTAGAAAATTAATATGATACATAGCATGAGCTGTACTAAGGCGGAAGAATTTAAATGTTTTTCCAAAATTGTTGAAATGCGTTTTGTAAACAATTGTTACATCTCATAATATGCTTTGTTCCCAAAAATATTAGTTTACTTGATTCGTCTTAAATCATATGTAAAAATCTTCATCCTGCGGTAGTGCTCATATTTTGAGCAAGGCTTCTATGGATTGATATACCGAACATTGGCTGATTTATCGATCATGAAGTTCAAATTGCATCTAATGAGGCTAATAACGGGCGAGATCAAAGTTTTGTAAGTCTACCGCAACATCTTTTGTTGATATTCTACTGTGGAACGGTACTACTCGGAGCTGTGTTGTTTTCTATTCTTGGATTCTGCCCTATCTATGTAATTTTCGGTTTCAGACTTTTTCCGTGATCTTGTTTGTCTCTTCATCTAATGATATTATAGCCGTGTCTCGGACCGTTTCCCTCTTATTTTCTCCCAAATTCCCACAGCCATGTCTAGTGATTTTCTTCCACATGTCTTTTATATACGTCCTCATGGCTGCGTTTCTGACGAAATAGACAATCGGGTTGCATGCTGAGTTCAGGGGCAGTAAAACAAAAGAGTTAGTCGCTGTAAGATAGGGGTTTTTACTCTGGCACAATTCACCCCATTCCAGGTCGCACTCGGAAAGCGTAAGACCGAAGTCGACCAAGAAGCCTATGTTGAGCGTGCAGTAAAGGACTGATAGGACTCCGATGGTGATTGTTGCATCCTTTTTCCACGAGACTATATGAGAATTTACTAGTTTTGCAATGCACAGACCGTTTGACAATAGGACAACCAGGAATATTGAGATCAAGATCAAGAATTCAATAATGTAACTTACATCTACTGGAAGTAAGACCAGAGTCATTGCGACCATGCTGTAAAGTGTTAGCGCTAAAAATATAACTTTAGAATGCAGCTGATGTCTGGGCCAAGTGATGCTTATTGCTCTTATCACTGCCAATGAACATGTGATAAAGGATGTAGACAATACTGTAAACATAAAAGCGACAAAAGCAGCCATCAACAATTCTAATGGTCCATCAAGAGTGAATGTTAGCAGCAAGCCCGTCAGAGAAACACAAACTATAACATCATAAGAGTTCAACAAAATAAACAGTCGCTTGTTGATGGCTTCTGTTGCACTTTGTCGGTTGTCTGACTTCCTCTGAGTCACGAAGTAAGAGAGAGACAAAAGATTGCTCACAGTTCCTACGATGGTCACCAAAGCACTTGGGACTGTGAAGGGTTTGAGGTGGTCCACAATGGTTCTTAAATTTGATGATTTATTGCTCCAAGCCCATTTTAGTTCCTCCCATTCTGTGACATTCGTCATTGGATCTCTTTCTTCTTGGCAAAATAATGTTATTTAATATAATATAATCAATTAATGTCATCATAGATTTCAAGTTGTTATAACTTATAAATAGGGCACTCAGTGTCTGAGCTATTAAGGCCAACGTATGGGTATTGACTTTTGGCCCACCCTGTACATACTGAGTTGATTAAATGACAAATCCAAAACTGAGGCATGAAGACATAAAAATACTCACATACGCCGTACGTGTTCTTCAATAAAAAGATGTTGTTTTGATTAAAACAACAAAAAGATAGCAACAAAATTTAAACTATAGCCGATTGACTCCGAACCCTGAAAACATGAAAAGTGAGAATTGGAGCCTAAAATTAACAACGAACCTGCAACGAACCTGCAGCTGCAGAATGCAAATGAGTTTAAGCCAACGAAAATGTGATTTTAATGATAATTATTATGATGTTATTAAGTTGAGCCCTGCATGGTTCGTTGAAGGAGAGTTATAAGCAAACTTATACAGGAATAAGAGTATCAAAGTCGCACACTGGGCATGGGCAACTTTCGATATCCTTGAAGCTGCCAGACTTATACTAATTACTAGGTTTAAAAATTTAGAATCTTTAAATTTGTAAACCCTTGTCAACCTTGTCTGAAACTATAAATATAATGCATGAGACTATAATGAGACTATAATGAGATTATAATGAGACTATAATGTGCATTGCATTTTTATTGTTCAACGAACAATACTCGCCGCCATCCAGACTTTGGGAACGCTATTAAAAGAAAAGTCAACGTGTGCCAATATCTTGAACAATACAAATACCGAAATATGGTGGCTACGAGAGATTATGCACACCAAAACATTCATAAGCTATTGTCCAGGCGATCGTAACAGCTGTGCAATGATGTTTATTGTTTATGATTAAGTTTGAAGATAATTTCCCAGACGTCTGGCTTGCAATTTTTAATTCTAAACTCGTGGCAAAACATTACATATTTGCCATGTTGACCAGAAGCCAGGAGAAGCCAGATGTGACGTTATATAGTCTATATTATAGACTAGTTAATTCATAATTGTGGATGAAAGAATGCACGATTGAGCTCAAACAGCGAAATTTGGGTCGCGGAAAGCTGAAATTTGAAAATGTCCTACCGGTTATAGGACATATTCAAAATTTGTATTGCATCAAAGTTTTCTACGGATATACTGGTTCCAGTATCTCGATGGTGACTTGAGTCACTCACCCCAACCTCACTCCTCACTGATTGGTCACTGGTCAAAAATTCAGCCAAAACTGTAAAATTTAATAAGCGCGAAGAGTTGGCACAGAATTCTTTCTTTCCGATTTTGATCAATTTGCACTGAGGGCTTAATTTGAAAATATACCCAATGCAATTGTTTATTCTTCAAGCTCAAACTTTTGTAAACTTCCCTCATCACACCAAGACCAATGGAATGGATATAATTAGTTGGTGCATAATTATAGTGGTTGTATGTTTATAAAAACTATGTAATAGTAGCCCTATCATATAATTTAGCACTTGTTGTATTGTACGTACATTGGTCATGATGCGATGAGGGAAAGTCGCGACTGTTTCCGACATAGATGCGGAGTTCGTTGATTTTTGGCGTAGAGTTCGTGGAGTTCGTTCAAAATTTGGAGTTCGTTAGAGTTCGTTGGAGTTCGTTAGTCAATTTTTCAAAAAAAAAACATGGAAAATGTTTTTTTTTAAAGTAATCAGCTCAGGATTTCTCGCATGATCTCAGATATTTATTGGGGTAAAAATAAAGAATAAAACTATAATATTTTTGTATAAATAAATAAATAACGAGCAATACAGAATGTTAAATTTTACTAACTTTCAGCAGACATAACATCGGAAATATACTTCAACAGACTTGTTGAAGCATGTTTATGGGAACAGCGAACTTCCTGTTTGGACTTACAATAACGTAGATTTCCATGAACGTAAACCAGCTTTTCAACTCTATCAGTCGACAATCTATTCCTCTTTTTATTGAATATATACTCAAATGTCTCACTGTCTACTTTACTGCTGAAAGTTGTACCTACAATGACATTTGAATCATCAACTATACCTATAAGTCTATACACAGTGCACTTCAATTTCAAATAGTTCAGTCTGCTGTACATGGCAAAATAAAATGTATACATCATACACAATACATGAACACTGAATGTACAATGTACATTCGGTGTGATCACAGCTGTTTACAGCAGAAGAAAACGAAACGCAACGCCAGAAGTACAAGTTGAAGTTTTCTGCAACGTGTCCAGGGAACGTGCGCGCGCAAACTATTGGCGCCAGAATGTTCCAGTCGATCGACCAGTCCTTGTACTGTGAAATGTACAGTGTACACGCGACGCGTGGTAGAAGTTTCGAGTACCAATATGTTTAGTTGTTTTACAATCGTATTTTATGTGTTGAATTGGCTGAATTGTAAATACAATTTCTGTTTAATTTCATTTTACGTAAGTTGTACAAAACGAACTCCTCAAGAGTTCGTAATTTTGGGTTGATGAGTTCGTAGAGTTCGTTGTCACTGAGGAGTTCGTAGAGTTCGTACGTATCATCTATGGTTTCCGAAACACCGATAAAACTTTGAAGGAGAGCTAAAAGTAAAAGTAGAATAAGAAACAATTGCGCTGCCACACGTGAAATATTTATCTGATGAGGGCGGTAGTTAACTGACCACAGCTATAAGTATACTTAATAAACCATATTATCATTTACACTTACAGTTAAGTATAACTCAAATTATTTTTGTTTTTTCACGTTTTGAGTACGCCTTAAGAGTTAATTGAGTACGATTAGTAAGTCTTCTGTTCTAATCCTATTGACGGTAGCTTTGGAGCTGGCGATGGTGGATGGGTTCCAGAAGGTGCCGTTAGTGTCTGGGTTGCTGGACTGACAAACATTTCATAGCAGATGCAACATTTAAGCGCAAACTTTTTAAATTGTGTGGTCTCAATCAAGAATTGTATTAAAGGAGCAACCTTTTCCTTTGAAGTTGAACACCGACATCTTACTTCAACTACCTTATCGGACCTTATTTGGACGGACACTACTTGAACGGACATAATTATGAACGGACATTAATATGAACGCTAGAAGGCAATCAAAACCATCAAAAATCCGAATTTTTTTCATCTTTTTTTGAATTTTTAAAAATTTTAGCAAATGATTTTTAAATCCATTTTTCATACAGTAAGCTTATCTGCGCTGTGCAGATAAGGTACGAAGGTACGAAGGTACCTACAGGACTAGATTAGATACTTTCGGTCACATACCTAGGGAGATATTCCGGTTTGTCTTCTACTTTATCGAGATGGGTGGTATGGTAGAAGGTATCGAAGCTGACATAAGCCACCGAAGGACGCCTATACCAAGTGGGGGGCTAGAGATAAAGCTTAAGCTGTACTTTAGGCATTCTAGTATCTCTCTAGTAGATCAATTGGGATCGTTCATTGCCCGCGTGGTACGACTACGAGTTGGACAGACAACCAGTTGTAAGAGAAAATGTGGAGGTAGAAGAAGCCGAAGATCAACTTCAAGATAATGTGATATTTACAATTCAGATTGTTAAAATTTTATAATACCTTGTTTTTATTAATTCAACAATATAGTTTAGTCTAATGATAGCTATTGAAATTGACTGAACTTGAAAAGTTGTCATATTCTGGACAAAAAGTTCGAAATGAAAAAATGTTTGAAAAAAATTGAACGGACTTTAACTTGGACGGA